TGTTTAAAACATCGTTAAAATTGACATCGATATATCGCCAATTTTACGATGTTGAGTAATTTTCAAATATCGATGGTAAACATCGGTTTTTTGGCCGATGTTATCGATGTTTCAGAAACATCGATGCATCGTTTGCATCCCTAAGCATCAGTCAATCGTCAATTATCGTAAGACGCACGAAGGCGATGATAGTATACATGTGTCGACGTAGCAGCAAGCAGCATTTTGAAGCCCAATTACATGTGTTTGGAAAATCAAAAAATGCCCGCCCCTCAGTGTTGCCAACTTTTCAATTTCAAAAAGCACCAGACCTTGGAAAAAAGAGCGTTTTACCGCACTAAAAGCACTCATTTTTTTTAAATCAAAGGATACCTTCTTTTATAACAGTTTGTGGTAAACAAAAGTAAAAAAATAAACAATACTTACATGTATAAATAAATACACATTCATGCTTACGAAGTACTACCGAAGTACTGCACATTAAAATTGGTACATCTGAAGAAAGAACAATCGAAATGCAACAAACGAAATTTAACTTTGAAGGGGAAGAGTAATACTTAATGATACCCTAAGTAGAAATGAGCGAAAAAATTTTTGTTTTATAATAAACCTTGTCTTTACACTTAGAGGTTAGGATATCTCAAAATTCTGACGTGGTAGAGAAATTCTGCAGCCAGATTTGGATTCAGCACCGAAAAATCTAAAAACCGATGAACTCAGGTGGCAAAAAAAGTTAAAATTTTTCGTACTGTGCAATCAATCAATAATCAAGAAAATAAAAAATAAACACTTAACTTATCTGCGTGCTAGCATTTTCAACGCGAATACAATTTAACAAGAACGCCAGAACGTGGGTTTGCAACTTCGTCTTTTTATCAATCATGGTTTGCATATTAGTGCATTTAAATTTGTAGATTCTTGTAAATTCAGAAATTTTAGTGCAGAAAAAAGCAATTAAAAGGGCACTAGGCACTAAACAATTTTTTTTTTGGCGTTCTAATTTTCAAAAAGCACTAAATCTAGTGCTTAAAGCACCAAGTTGGCAACTATGCCGCCTCTGCTCTAAAGCAGTGCCCGCCAAACATTTTCCTGGGAAAGGAACTATATTCGCATTAGGGTATCATTAAGTATCACTCTTCCCCTTTAAAATTCAATTTCGTTTGTTGGGATTCGATTGTTCCTTCTCCAGATGTACCAGTTTTAATGTGCAGTACTTCGGTATTACTTGGCAAGCATGAATGTGTATTTATTTATACATGTAAATATTGTATATTTGTTTACTTTTGTTTACCACAAACTGTTATGAAAAAGAGTATCCTGTGATTTAAAAAAAAATTTAGTGCTTTTAGTGCGGTAAAACGCTCTTTTTCCAAGATTTGGTGCTTTTTGAAACTGAAAAGTTGGCAACACTGTATATTCGGCCTTTCACATGTACACAATTGGCTTCTTACTGCCGTCCCTAAATTGGAGCGCTAAGCGTTGCGTTATCCATTGTCGACGAGTGTCAGCGCGCGCTATCCCCAAATCAACGCGTCGTAATTTTTGACGTTTTCTCAGATCCTCTCGTTTTTATTCTCGTTTCCTCTTTCACTTTTTTGTCCTTTCTCTTTCTTTCCGTCTTCCGCATCCAACTTCAACACGTAACGCCCTGTCAAAAATGAAAATTCCATTTGCTCGGCGTTAGCGCCGCGTTATTGTGGGATGCTTCATACAAATTGTATGGGCATGAGGATTTTTGACAGTTGTTTGGCGCTTGACGCGCCAATTTAGGGATGGCAGCAGTGTTGCCGTTTTGGTTACTTTTAACCAATTTTGGTTATTTTTTTCTTGCCTGTGAAGTTGTTAAGATCTTTCCCATTTTGGTTATTTTTAAACATTTACTGTAGTTATTAATTTTTTTATACATACAGTAATTAAATCTTTGAAAAATAGTATAAAAAATACATTTATTCTGCTCAATATGGTTATTTAAATAAAGTTATTACTACTAAAATGGCAACTCAAGATTCGACTTATTCCAATAATAATCACGTGTTTAGATATGCAAAAGAACATGTAAAAGTTCGAGGGTGCAACTATCGGTTCGTGTCTTTAATAAATCGTGGTGAATTAATCGCCAAGTTTTTGAAACGGCTCGGCAGTTACACCATTTCTATGTTCTTTGCACACACCTACATAGTAGGAGTCTTCATCTAAAGTGATAAAGGGATAAATTATTTATCCGTAAAGGGATAAATTGTTTATTCCGCTTTCATGAACGCACATTGGTAAATAACTGCATAAAATTGTATTATTTAACTTATCTGGCTAGTTTCGTTTCATTCTTACCTCGTCCATTTTGCTAATTTGCTTTTTATGTGTTCGTAGCAAAATCAACCACCTGGCAGTCTGTCAGGGTTGAATTTTGCTGAAATTTATACGTTTGTCCACCAAAATCGTTTGATAAAGTGATAAACTTTAGTTAAATAGATGTCCATACAAAGTTTGACTGTTCATTTATCAAAATGATAATTTTATCAAGTTTATCAACAGTTTATCACTTTTGATGAAGACCCCTAGTATGTACCTGAAATGACATTTGAATAATACGAGAGTCATTAAAAAGCCGCGAAAAATTATTAGAATTCCGTGCAAAATTGGTGCTTCAAGTTAATTTATACGGGCTCATTGCTATGGATAAGTGAACAAAGTGGTTTTATTTTGCATAATATGATTTCCAAAAAACTTTTAAATTAGGCTCGTTATAAGACATAGGCCATCTACACCTGTCGGGGTTGAGGAGAGTAGCCGCAACAGTGGAACCCTCATCAGTGAAACTAAGTGAGAATATTTGGAATGAATGTATTAATATGGCATACATATGTATGTATTTGTTTTTACATATACAGAATACATAATATAAATGGTCGGCTAAAGACTACTTTAAATAAATGGGTACTCAGATAGTACATATATAAATACCTGGTATATGCGGAATCCAATACCTCGTCATGTATGTACAATACAAAAGGGATTTGGTTATTATTTTTCCATTACTGTTTACTTTATTAATTTAAGTTAAGATTAATAATAATAATCTTGCAGCAAGTAGGTTCAAGGGAAATACCATTCCACAGTTTTGAAAAAATCGGTTTTTTGCGCTTTTGTAAAATTTATTTACCATCATATACGCGGTACCGCGTTTGGCGTATACGAGGTATTCCGCGCTGAGCGACGATATAGTTCAATACAGTCCAATTTTTAATTGTTTAATCTTAATTATAAAATATATACAATGTGGCTGTTCACGCTAATTAGATATTTCATCGATTCTTACAAAGAAGTTGGAAACTGTGTACCTATGTACTTATTTAAAAACGTCATCTAAAGTCTGGTAATATTTACGAAGATATTAACATACATATGCACCTAATACAGGAAGCCTGATTTTCTTAAATATGTATTTATATATATGAATGTACTTCATTTATTTTAAGCCTTAAAAGGATTTACTTTTCAAAAATGCAAATAAAAATTGATTTTCTTTGGGTTGTGAAATTTGTCTATACGCACTATATAAAAGAATTTGTGATGACCTGAATTCTTAATCTAATAAAAAATTGGTTATTTTTCCTTACATTTGGTAATTTTTTCGTCTAATCTTGGTTAGAAAGTTCTTTGAGCGGCGGCAACACTGGATGGCAGTTACACGTACACAATCAGTGTTGCCAGAACTTTTTGGACGAACCGGCTAAATTGGCAAATAAAACCGGCTAAAAACGGCTAAAACGTTTCAACTAAATTTCACATGTTTTATTTAAATAAATCACGAGTACCATTTCTGGGAGAGAAGTTACAAATTCGAGCCGGAAAAAATTTTGCCAGCAAAAATTTCCAATTAGGAAAAACATATGATTGTGGCACATGGTTGAATTTTTTGTCGACGATAATTTAAATAAACAAGTCCGTTAAATTTAAAAATTTACAAACTAGAGCGATTTTAAAATGAAAAATGTAAGTTAATACTTGTTTACTTAATTAATTTAGTTAATTCCAAAGATTTGAAAGGTACTCGGCAAAAAAAACTGTATTCTTAATCGGAATGCAATCTCAACCAGAGTCGATATAGTAAACCCGACAAAGAAATTGAAACATATGTTGAAGAAAGTCGGACTGACAAGATATATACACGTAGATCCTGTTTTTTGCCCCTCTGAAAGAATTTTAAAAATTGTATACAAATTTCTTTGTTTGAAATGCAACCGTGGACACTAGCTGGCAGAAAATCTTGCAAATTTGCGTTCGTACAGAAAATTGCAAGTTTCTTCACATGAGAGAGAATTTGGGAGCATTTTTTCTTACTATCTGATATTTTGAGTGATAATTCTCGCTGGATTTTCGACGAACAAACCTATTGTCTTCCCTACGAGGCCTTTTCAGACTGACCGATTCTCAATACACTCAAATAGAAACCAATACATATAAAAAACGCTGTGAAAATTTCCATGCTATTTTAAGGCAGTAAAACAACGACCTTAAGTTAACATCAACCGAGGCCATATATTGACAAAGGATGCAAAATCACAATTACACAAAAGAACTGGTCACATTTTTCAGAAATTCCTTCAATTCTGATGTAAGATATGATGCCAAAAGACTGCAGATCTCCCATTTAGATGACCGGTCATATGACCGGCAGATGTCTCGTAGGATTCCCAGAGAGTTTTGCTTTACATAGAAATTTGTGCTCTTTTATTTTCATTTTGACTCACTTCAGCGTTGGTTCCTTTAATTTAAGTTGGCATTCAGTTTTTGGAATTTAAATAAGTTCTCAGCAAAAAAGTTTGTTAAAAAAAATACATATGTGTACATAGTTCTTGAAAATATCAATTTTTCCGTTACCTTAAACCGTTGGGAGTGGGCAAAAATGATGTTTTGTAATTTAGGCAGAGTTGAATATGCGCTATCTGGGAAGACAATATATACATGTAATATTTATTCTGCCTCCTCAGCGTTGGTCGTCTTGCCGTGGCGAGGGGGCTTAAATGGTGTCATGGTATAACTCACAGTGTGAATTGTATCATGCCTCCATGAACTAAGAGGGAAGCCTGGTATTGAAGCCTTCGGCAATATTCCTTAACAATCCAAGCTGGAGTGTTGTTTTTATTGCTGAAGGTGGAAATGGCAGGATTACCGTACCAACACTACCCAAGCCAAGGTGTGTAGGCAACCGTGCCGATGGATGAATGGCCAGCGGGTAGTAAAAAATGGCTGGTCGCGTACGGTCCCCTCCGATGCCCGGGCAAGGTCGGTTGTAAGAAGTGCATTCTCTATGCATACCGGCTCTGCGGACGAGCGACTAACCCTTTCCGGACTACTCGTGGGACCACATATGGAACAAAAACAAACAAAAACAAACAAACAACAACAACAAACAAACCAACAACAGCAATAGGAACAGCGTACCAGCGAAGAAGGGGACGACGTAACGATGTCAGAGGAGGAGCAGCTCCTCAAATCCCCAAGGTCAGGTAAGATGGTTGCAAGTACTCCTGGTGGCGCCAGCCATAGTACCCCAGTTGTACAAGAGCCAGAAACCAGCAGGGTGGAAGATGCCAGACAAAGTATCACCACTCTGCAAATAGTCAAAAATAGCACCGGTAGTGCCTGCCGTAGTACTCCTGACGAGCAGCCAACAACCAGCAAATCGGCGGCCGTTGCAGGCAGCAACCCCGCCTCTAAGAAAAGAAAACCCTCGGGCGTGGTCATGAGACAGATGTACCAGAAGGCGCTGTATATGTTAAATAAAATTGACAAAAATGCAGCGGCCGGTACGGTACATGAGCGTGACGAGGAAGACAAGGCAAAATACAGGCAAATAGTGGAAGAGTACGAAAAGTTACAGACAGATCGTGCAGCCACAATCGAGGCCACCGAAGCGAAGAAGCGGAACCGCTCTCATAACGAAGGCGGCCAAGGGGCCATCGCAAAGAAGGCTAAGCAAGGTGGTGATGCGGAGTCCGCAGCACCCGCGAAGCATCGCTATTTTAGTGACGTCGCCAGAGATCATCTACAGGCGGCGATAATAGATGAAAACAGCAAGACACCGCTAGCAGTGCAGCAAAAATGGGTGGAGATTGATGTGAGGCTATCGAGCCTCGTAATGAACCACGTACTCGACAACCCCGAAGGTCCTCACCCAGAGTTCGACTCGTCGGAATCCCTACGGGGATACCGGGTAGTCAAGTGCGCGAACCAGTTCTCCCTGGATTTCCTTGCTGGATGCGTCGCTAAGATCAGCGACACTTTTGTCGGCTTGAAGCTCAAGCTGATCCCAGCTAAGGACATTCCAAGGAGACCACGTGCGCGCATTTGGCTGCCTCCGATGGATGAACCAGGCGAAAAGTTGCTGCGGTGTCTTAAGCTACATAACAAAGACATACCGGCGATCGAGGAATGGGAACTTATAAAAGTTGAAGAGCCAAGAAGGCCTACAAATAAGCCCATTCTACTAGCTATTTGTGCAGAGTCACTAGACGCCTTAGAGAAGGCTGACTATCGGCTCCGCTTCGGTATCCGTAAGGCTAGAGTGCGGGTATTCCTCGGAGAGGTTAGCCCGGTAGAAGAAGATCCCGGGGTTGATGGAGCTGGTGAGCTTCTCATGGGTGTGAAGCTGACAGATGACCCTGAACCAGAAACTTAAAGTAGCCCAAATAAATCTGCAGCACTCCAAATGTGCTACAGATAATCTAGTTGTCCTTCTCAGTGAGGAGGATATAGACATTAGCCTAATTCAAGAGCCCTGGGTCAAGCACGATACAATCATGGGACTAAATATAAATAATTATAAACTCTACTATAAGAGCGAGGTGGGTAAACCGCGGGCGTGTATTCTTATCAAGAACGGTATAAATGCATTCCTTTGCTCTAATTTCAGCACATCAGATACAACAATGGTTAAGGTGGAGACCACCGGACAGCCAAGTATACTCCTGGTCTCATCATACATGGCCCACGATAGGGACAGTCCGCCAACCGAAATCCAGGAGATAATAGCCAAAAACCCCAGACAAATTATAGTCGTCGGCTGCGATGCGAATGCAAGGCATCCAGTTTGGGGTAGTTCTACGGAGAACGACCGAGGTGAGTATTTACTACACTTCTTATTAAATACTAACTTAAGCATCTGCAATAGAGGTAATACACCCACATTCATATTCCCGAGTTCAAACCGGTTTCCTGGATGGGAGGAGGTGCTGGATCTGACCCTGTTGTCAGAGAATGACAGCGTGTCTGTAGAAGAGTGGAGAGTATCTGATAGGCCTTCAATGTCTGATCACCGTCTGATCCTCTTTAATCTGCACGGAATTTCCAGCACCCCCTCAAAATACAGAAACCCCCACAGGACTAATTGGGAAAGATATAGTAACACAATTAAGCATAAACTAAGTAAGCTCCCACTAAATACAACTGTCACTACAGTTGAGGACCTTGATAATAGAGTAAATAAACTAGAAGAGGTTATGAAGAAAGCCTTTGAAAGATCAACTCCAGTTAGTACAGCAAGAAAGAAATCCCCACCCTGGTGGAATGGGGATCTCAGAGCCCAAAGAGACAAACTAAGGAAAATCTACAATGATTGCTTTAGAACTAAAAACTGGGCGCCTTATAAAAGCGCCCTCAGATCTTATAAAAAGGAGTTGAGAAAATCTAAAACTAAATCCTGGCAATCTTACTGCTCTTCTATAGAGAACTCTAAAGACTCAGCCAGGCTCAGCAAAATCCTATCAAAAGAACACACAAATATCACACTCATTAAGGGAGTAAACGGGGTGTGGACGAACACAGCTAGTGATTCTCTAAACACGTTAGTCAAGTTCCATTTCCCAGGATGTATTCGACATCCACCCACATCAGGGTCAATTGAACCTGGTTCAACTAGCAGTATACTGTTGAACTCGATCGTGAGCAGGGAAAAGATTATTTACGCTATTAACAGCTTCTCTCCCTTCAAATCCCCTGGACCAGATGGCGTAATCCCAGCAATGCTCCAGAGGGTGAAGGGAGAGATAGCACCGTTACTCGTGACTATTTTTAAGGCTACCATTACCTTGTGCTACATTCCTAAAAGCTGGAGAAGGGTATAAGTCGTGTTCATACCCAAGCCAGGAAGGAAAAACCACGAAACAGCAAAAGATTTTAGACCCCTAAGCCTTACCTCCTTTGTGCTTAAAACAATGGAAAGGCTTCTCGACATTTATATACGATCGCTGTTAGGTGAAGCGACACTCTCAACAGCACAACATGCATACATCAAAGGCAGATCCACTGAATCTGCTTTGCATGAAGTGGTGAGCTTAATAGAAAGATCGTTGCACTTTAAACAATATACTTTGGCGGCATTTCTTGACATCGAGGGCGCATTTAATAACATTGAGGTTGACACCATCATAGACTCTTTGATAGATATTGGTGTTGACGACAGTGTTTGTAGATGGATACGATCGATGCTAGTCAATAGAATCATTCAGGCAACAAATGGGGCTAACTCTATTACACATCATGTGAACAGGGGCACTCCACAGGGCGGAGTGCTCTCACCACTGCTATGGGTGATAGCCCTGAACGGTATATTGCTAGAACTCAATAGAGGGGGAGTCAAAGTTGTGGCGTATGCGGATGATGTTGTAATAGCAGCCACAGGTCCATTCCTCTCTACCGTTAGCGAAATCCTTGAAGGAACCCTGGGAAGACTACATGCCTGGGCTACGAGAAGCGGCCTAAATGTGAACCCAGCGAAGACAGAACTTATCCTATTTACTAATAGACACAAACTACCACAATTCAAGCTACCATCGCTAGACGGCAATGCGCTCTCATTGTCCCCCAGCGCAAAGTATCTTGGAGTCGTGCTGGATAACAAACTTAACTGGAAAACCAATATCGAATTCCGTAGACAGAAGGCCTACATAGCATACTACACTTGCAAGAGAATCTTCAGTAGAAACTGGGGACTAAATCCTAAAGTTGTGATGTGGATGTATACCGCGATCATAAGACCAATTCTAACATACGGCGCCTTGGTTTGGTGGCCCGGCCTAAGCAGACAATATAATGTCAGCAAGCTAAGAAGCATACAAAGGGCAGCAAGCGCAGGAGTAACAGGCGCACTAAGATCCTGCCCGGCAGAAGCTTTAAACGCCATCCTCAATTTAATTCCTATTGATCTCCACCTGAAAGAAGTGGCTATGAAATCGGCGGTCAGACTCAGAGAGTCGGGCCTTTGGAGGACTAGACACTTCGGACATGGGTTTATCATAAATCAAATGCAACTAAATAGGACGACAGATTATATGGTAGGCAATTTGGACTTCAGCTGTAACGCGCAAGTGCTATTCCCATCCAGAAGGGACTGGAGGAGAGACCGAGTGGCCGACCGAGAAGAGATCTCTCTATACACCGATGGATCCAAGATGGATTGCGGTGTGGGAGCAGGTGTCTACTCCAAGGAACTAGGCGTGGCTCTGTCTCTGCGGTTGGGAAATAATACAAGCATCTTCCAAGCGGAAGTCCTAGGGATCCTAGAAGCCTGCAAAATCCTAGGCAATAGGGTTGGACACAGCAGTAAAGCAACAATATACTCTGACAGCCAGGCGGCGCTATTGGCAATAGCGTCACCGGTTACCAAATCCAAGCTAGTTGGGGAATGCAAAGTAATATTGTGCTCAGTGTCTCAGTCAAATACCGTCTCTCTTGTCTGGGTTCCCGGACATAGGAACATAGAAGGCAATGAGAAGGCGGATGAGTTGGCGAAGGCAGGAGCCGGTTTGGATGAATCCCAGGCAGTGGCACTGGGTTGCCCTCTTGGAGTAGTCCAAAGAGAGATTACTACGCATTTCCTTGAACTGGCTAGACGCAGGTGGTCAGATATACAGACTTGTAAGATAGCGAGAAAACTATGGCCTGACTATAACAGGGCGAAAACCTTGGACCTGCTTAGCAGATCAAGGCCAGAGGTATTTAGAATTGTAGCAACCATCACAGGCCACTGGCCCATAGGCAAACATGCGGCAAAAATAGGTCTACCCCATAATATGATTTGCCGCAGCTGTCAATTAGAAGATAGCGAAGAAAGTGTCCAGCATTTCCTATGTGAATGTCCAGGCCTTTCGAACATTAGACACAAGACGTTAGGGAAACATCTAATAGCTGAACTAACCGACCTATCAGGAGCTACCATTAGCGAAATCGGCAGATTCATTAGAGAGTCGAAATGGTTCGACCTAGCAACATAGGAAGTGCACAGACAAGATATTTATCCCCCGCGAGAAGTGCATCAAAATGGCGCAATAATGTGCTAATTGTATCCTGGGCAGCGACTAGGAAGCACTGCAACCAACCAACCAATATTTATTCTGTTTGTTGGCACTATATCCAAACACAAACGGATCTTAAGTGTCATAACAGTGAAACAATTTCTTATTTTCTAAGTTTGCGAATAAAACTTCACACTTAAAATTAAGACATTTATAGCAAACATTTTATGAAGAAAATCCCTTCTTCGTTTAAAATAACTAGTAATTTTTAGCAAAAAAAAACCGACTTCAACTCTCATATAAAAAAAAATACATATATATATATCTCATGATCCGCTGATCGGATCTTAACCGGATTAGTATGGGACCACCTCTGAGACACTACCTTTCCGATGCAAAAATTATCGAGTTATCGAAATCGGTTGACGTGGTCCAAAGTTATGCGGTAACATACATAAAAAAAAAAAAAAATAAAAAAAAATAATAATATTCCGACGAACCTCCTCCTTTTTTGGAAGTCGGTTAAAAATAAGCGAAATCGGCACAATTTCATACAACCCTGCCTAACATGAAAATTTTCTCCACGACAAGGCTAGTAGCCATTTCTAACAGATTTTGGGTCGCTTAGTCAAAAACAGAAACATATATACATATTTTTAATTTAAGAAAACAAGGCAAATAGCAAAATCGGCTAAAACAGGCTAATTTTTTTCTGCAAAACGGCTAAAAAATCGGCTGCCGGCTAAATCGAAATTTCTCCGGCTGTTTGCTATCGCAACCAGCTAAATCTAGCCGGAAACAGTTTAAATGGCAACACTGTACACAATCCGAACGTCAACAGAAAGAGTAGCAGAGCAACAATTATTATTTAGTTGCATGCAAACAATAGGCGAAGCAGGTTGATGACGCATTATTGTCGAATAAAGTAGGTACACTGAGCAAAATGAATGAATATTCATTCAAAAATTTTATAACACAATTTTTCGTACATACACCCCTAGAAATAAGTATGTATATGATACCAAGTCGTGCTTTTTCTTCATATTAAAAGAACTTTGTGAATTATGTATTTTTTTTTTAATACCAGACTAGTCCTCAACTAAAACATACAATATGTTTTGTTATTTATCTTTTGGTTTAGTCGTTATTTTAAACTGTTCTTAAATGTCAAGTTTTACCTAATTTTAAAATAAATTTATATTAGATATATATATTTTCATTTTATTTCTACTTGAAACCAACGAAATATTCTTTTAATATTCAGAGTGCTCGAAGCACGTTATCTTTTTTGCTCAGAAATCCACACTTAAATTATAAAAAAATAATAATAATTTTGTACAATACATACAAAATGTTACCAACTTTTTCCTTTCTCAGGGCCGCTAACTTTCATTATATGTTTCTATGTTGTTTAGATCTAAAAACACGCACAATGAAAAAACTGCAATAAACATACCAAAGTTTTTATAATAAGTAATACAACAGAAATCTTTTTCCGTGCATTACCACCAACACATTCTCATTTTTTATTTCATAACTAATGCATTCTCATTTTAAGACTTTTCTCTTTTTGGCGGACACTGCTCTAAAGTAGGGACGTTCCGATACCATCAAAGTATCGATACCTACTCAAATGAGTTTACTCAAATAGCTATTTCGATACTACTTATATGAGTCAAGCGAATGTATCGATACCTACTTATATCGATAATTTTTCATCCTTTTAAATTCAAAAAAGCGAAAGTAATTTTCAGGCGTTTTCTGTGACATAAAGCTTTGCGGCACCTGAGGGGAAGATCGACCTATCTCGGAAGAAAGTTCGAAAA